ACAGCACTCAGGAAAAGAGTCATATACATGTGCTTTGTCCTTTCAGGGCATTTAATTTATTATCGTTGTTGAAACAAGACCCTGTGCTTGTGTATCCTTCTTTTGAAGAAGTATATTCAAATTTTATATCCTTAAAAACATGCAAATTCTCTTCAGTGACAGCAGTGACTCTCAAAAAATGTAATGAAAACAAGCAAAAAAAAAAACAGCATTCCAGTCACATTTGTGACAAAAATTTTCCAATGAAGTTAGAGATGTTTGTGATGCTAAGTTCAGTTATGAGACTGATTTCCTGTCAGAAGGTTTTTGTGTGTGTGTTGTGTTGTGTTTTTTTAAACCAGTTTTGTAAAACCGAAGTATGTCAGGCACCAAAAGCAATTCTGTTCATTCTGAACTCTGCTCTATGATTTTTTCCTCTACAGTCTCTCTATTTCAAGATCTATTGCAGTAATCCATCTTCCTTTTCCAAATAACCTACAGTTTCTTTTTTTGGAATTAAAGAAACATTAGCTACTTTACATCTAATAATTGTATACTATGGCCAAACCTAATGAAAAATATAGGCCATTAAATCTTGCCTTCAACAAAGACTTACTAAAGTTTTAGTTTTATTTATTTATTTTTAAGAGTTAGGTTTACAATCCAAATCAAAGTAGAAATGCACCATATTAAGTGTAGCCTAACATTATCTAGGTCAGACAGTTTTGGTTTTACTATACCATGGGCTGTACAAAATGACTCCATATTTATTCATACATCCTGAAGTCTGAACTACTATTGGCACCTGTGGTAGAAATTGTAGATACATCTATGATGCTGCAAACCACACCTCTGCCAAAAACCACAAAGCAATGCCAACACCTTTGATACTCTGCATGCCCTTGCCAAGAGTGAGGTGATGGATACTTTTACTTTTCAACTTCCTCCACGCTTATTAGCTCCTGCTTAAAAGGATACCTTGCAAATTCAAAGACAACTATGTTTTCTACGCATTAAATTCTTAAGTGGAATTCTAGAATTCCTCTCCGTGCTGGGAGCACCTCCATCAAATGAAATTCTGCCTGTCTAGATTCATGATCCAAAATATAAAATAAGTGGGTTGGGCTTGAGAAGAACAAGGAATAAACCAGAGGAAAACCAGTTTGTTTATATTGATTTCTGTTAAAATATATGGAGGGAATGGTGCCAGAGACCTTGCTGTTTTGGATTATTCTGGCTTAACAAGACTCCTGGTAAATAACTTGGAAGCTCTGAAGTTAATGTGAAACATTTTTGGCTTTTCTCCAGGTCAGAAACAGATATTTCTACACAATTTTCAGCTTGAACTTTTACAGATTAAAGATTATTCAGTTCACATTAGATTTGCAGGCTTGGTTAAACAGATAAACTTTTGCTTTCCAGAAGTTCAAGCACAACGTATGCACTTAGCCAGAGGAAAGTCACCATGTGAAGTCTCTCTGCACACGGGTCAAGAACCATCCAGATCTTAAAAAGGATAGTTTAAAAAAATAAAAGAGAGAGAGAAAAGGAAAAAAGATGGTGGTGTACCTCTGCTCCAAAAAACACAGTTCAGTCTAACCACAAGAGAATGAAAAGTTCAAGAGGAAAAAAAAAATCATTCAGTGCAAGTTGTCAAGAGGTAAGAAGAGAGCATTGCTGAAGAAAGTTCTGCCTCAGAGATGCATACAAGAACTCTAGCCAAGTCTCCCGATGCTTCTTGCCAAACTGTTTTATTTCCCTCAGCACTAAACTGACACTTTCCAAAATAATACCCTCAAATGAAAAAAGCATTGTACTAATTGAGTAGCATCTGTTCCATAAATACTGCATGGAGCCTAAAACTTTAGGACAAACGAGCAGGTGAAGTGATTGACCAAAGCTGTCTTTGAAAGCCAGGTTCAGACCTTTCTGCCTATAGAATTCTTGAGGATACCCGTATCAGTTCCACAAATTTTGCATGTGTGCTTGTGTGTGTGTATATGTAATATATACGTTATGGGTGTGCATATATATATATACATGTATATAGATGCTGGAAGAAAAAGAAAAATATATTATTCTATATATAACATTGGACTACTTAAGATAATCATTTCCTTAATTTTAATGCTATGTGTGATATGTAACTCTTGATTACCTTGCATTTTTTCCTCTAAGGAAAAAAAATTGTGATAAAAACATCTTCTATGTTTATTTTTTTGCTTCTACTGCCCAATGCCAACTAAGGATATTTGCTATTAGAAGTAAAGTTCATTTAATCTCTTTTTCTCCCCATATTCCTTCTTCTTTTCCAGGAAAGAGTTCCAGTTCCCCATCTGATATACACAGAACTAACTGGAGCAAAGAAGAGGAAAAGTTTATTCATACTTCAATTAGAATTTATATAAATAGGCCAAGACATAAAATGCTGATCTAATGTGTGTGGATTAGTTACTGAAACACTGTGCCATAGCTTACACCATTTTACATCAGGATATGATATAGCAAAAAACATTATGGTGTGAGTTTCTTCTTGTTAAAATCTTGAATATATTTATAAAATGTTGAATCTACTTTTTTGGTGCTATTTCATAAATATCTTACAGCGTACTACAGAAAGCCCTAACTGACCAAGTCTTATAGCTTCAAAATGTACAGTCAGGCCAGTCTAAGCAGGAGAGGCAGGAGAGGCATTCTTCTGAAAGTTATATATGCCATCTACAGTACAGACTGAGATGGTTAGGGCACTGTCCAATAGAATCTGTTCAGTGGTAGAAGAATATCATCTGTCTACCAGAAACAACAATTAATTGTATCAAAAAACATTTCAAGAAACAATCATATTGAAGGTGAATTTATAAATTAAACAATAAATGTAACAGTTCTATTTCCAGTGATAAAATAAGTGACCTGAGCAACTCC